AGAATGGAACGAACGAAGGCTTTTAAGAATTGCCCCTCTCAAACTGCGATAAAATTTGCGCTGTCCGCAGCTATTYAGATGAACACCATCGTATGCGTAGGAATTAGCCTTTGTATGCCAGAAACCTCTATGACCCCAATAAATTGCATAAGGAATTGGCTCCAAAACTTCGCGTAGATAGCGGGTTAAGATATCGACATTTTGGTTAAAAGCTGCTGACGCCTCCCTATAGAGTGTTTGGCAAACACAAACGCGCTCAACCCCATATTGGTCATGTAACAAACGAACTAGATCCTCAATACTAGCACCCACTAGAACAGGGGTAAGATTGGCACGGGTTAGGTCGTTTGTTCCAATTCGTAAGATAACAATGTGGGGTCGAAAAGACTTTACAACATGTAGGTCATAATGGACAAGTTTTTTGAGAGTTCTGCCCCCAACACCGTGCCACCTTACAATTACTTTATTCTCGCAGTGAAAATAAGTGGTAAGATCGGAATTACGTTCGATGAAGTCGTGGAGACAACGAATAAAGGAATGTCCCAGAATAAGAATGCGCTTGTCAGCCATAATACAGTTAGGGTGTAAAAGTAAAATAACTTGCCTGATAATTTTACAGTGAACTTGCTCGACTGCGAGAATAATAGGNGACATAACGAGCTTATAGAATTTTCTAATTATCGAATTTCGAATTTTTTTATTTTTTGTGTGCAAATGGTGGATAACAATGCAATCCACCTTCGTTGTCTTTATTCATAAAACGGTCGTTTTTTGTGCCCTTTAATTTGAAATTTTAAAAAAAACTCGTGTTAGAAGATAAAGAAAGCAAAGTAAACGGGCAGAAAGTATCCAAGTAAGGGAAAGAGAATCGAAGGGAAAAGAGAAAGAGAAAAACTTTGATATTATAAAGATGTTTATTCTAAAATTATACCACAATATACGAAAGAAAATACTGAAACACCAACATAGCATGATATATATACAAGTTGTACTGTATCTTTAGATTTTGTAAGGTAAGGAATTGTTATGAAAAAATCCTAGTTCGTTTGAATACAAGAGACTGAATAGACCCTTTCCAAATTACCGCTGTGTTTCGTGATTACAGACTCATTTACTCAGGCTTAGCTTCGATTTTGTGAAGAATATCCACGGGTTCCAGACAAGGTCCGTCAAGTTTCAAAGTGTTTGTATTTAAGTTGTGCATTCTTTACTTTACCATTGGAATTTATTAGTAATAGACAGTGGTTCGAGGGCTAAGCCTGAGTAAATGAGTCTGTAATCACGAAACACAGCGGTAATTTGGAATTCGAAAAGGGTCTATTACTTTGGATCATCAAGGAGCCCATCTCTGGATAGCTTTTAATATATTTATCAGGCTATATTTATCAGGCTACCTATCGGACAACTGTTTACAATCAATATTCTTACATACGTTTGTGATATATCCCAAGAAAAGGGTATTTTATATATTATGCCATCTCCTAGCCTCCAAGTTCTCAGTTAGAGCAGGGTATTAGAAGTTACTTTTACACTTATTTCAATAAAGTTAGTCACCAAAAACCTAGAAAGCTGAGATCACTGAGCATCATGGGAAACTTTTCATATCAAGGAAGCATATATATACAAAGCTTTTTTTAATACAAATTGCAGCTCCATGATGCTCAGAAGAGGTGAGACTGTTACCGGTAAAAGATTCGCAGTCCATGAACAGTTATCAAGCAGTTGAACGTGTAAAATGAATCTACCCATAATCCTTGTCGGCCTCAGATTTATAACTTTTCAGGTGACTAAATTTATTGAAATAAGTGTATATGATGGTGAGGAATTTCCACATGCTTAGGAAACAGATTAATCACGAGTCACGAAAAAATGTATTAAATAACTGAGACATTGCTGATCACGCGCCAAAAAAACTCGATCGCACACTCCTGATATGACATCATAGTCGCCATGTTGGATCGGAGGTATCTTCCAACATGGTTGCCACGTTTCAATTCCTACCAGAAGTGTTTTGCAACCTAAGAATTTAACCAACTCAAACCATGCTTAGCGGAGTTTTTTAGAATATGTTTTAAAAAATTATAGATCTTTGTATAAGGTCGCTAAGAAGTAGATCTAGGAAGACGTTAAAGACTGAGTGGTGGTCAGCGGTTGTGTCGTCGTATCTATCCTGACTCTCTTAGATCTATCTTGACCCTTCTTAGCTGTGGTTTTGCCCGTTGTATGGTCACTTCCACGGCTAGATGGATTCTGCGCGTAGCGAGTCACTGTGGAGACGCCATCGACGAACTTGGTCTTGAAGAGAACGTTGGCATTATTGAACATGCCGTCTTTGAGTGAGACTACGATGAACTGGGAATGTTTGAAGTGGGATTTCACCATTTGACCGATGTTCTGGGTGTGTGAGAGATCGAGGGCTGCGTCTACCTAGTCTAGGATGTACAGTGGTGCGGGTTTGAAAAGTAGAAGAGAGAGAATGAGAGAAAGAGCGACCAGTGATCTGAAAGAAAATGAATCGAAAGAGTGAATAGTGGGAGGTTTTTCCGATCCAATAGAACCTATTAGAATATATTTGGCTTAATGCTTTTCCCATTTCAGACCACATCGCATTCCCTAGATTATCATTTCTTCGTTGAACGGTTGTATATACGAAAACACATGAATATGGTTACGACAAACAAATAAACTTATTTTGAAGAGAATGTCACGTGGTCTAAAATGGTAAAACATTAAACCGAAGCTTTAAAGGTCTATTACCTACAGCTTTTGCCATGCTCTGTTCAGTAATACCGCACGCAAAAGGTGATGAAAGTGCGAAAAAATGTACCTTTTTACTGATACGGCGGCCATCTTGAATTATGGAATGCCGAGGGGACAAACACGTAGAACATTTATAAAGTATAGAGAGGCGTGGTTGTGTTTTCAAATAATTTGAAGTCTTGGTGTTTCGCATATTGTTCCAACTACCAGTAAATTCAATTGGTTTTTAGATGTGCTTCTCATTGAAAAGCGTAAAGTTATATGAAGACATAATGACAGCTGTGCAGTCAAAACATTTTACAATAGTTGCCCCCTACGGCATCCCATGTCTTAATTAAAACATTAGGATTCAAGATGGCCTGAGTACCGGTAAAAAGGTCTATTGCGCCCGGCTTTGTGCGCGGGAATCATGTCAGCAACGTGCACCGCCTTTAAAGGGTTGAGCACTTGGATGGAACTGCCCCAATTTTCGAAATTTCAAATGATTGAAGTATTTAAGGATAATATGACTCAATTATGATCATGAAAACCAGATAAGTGAAAATTTTAGCCTGGGAGCCACTTGCTGTTGAGAAATTTTGGTTTAAAAGCCAAAAGAACAACAGGGTTGAGTAAATGACGTCATTCATTTAGATGTTGAATAAAATTGATAATTTTTATCCGTCACTTTTTACCGTTAAGATAATATGTTGAACCAAACGTAGCAAGGTGACCGTATGATACGTAGAGATTATCACATGTTAAGAGCTCGATATGGTTTTGAACTCGTGGATACGCGAAGCGTAGAAACAAGTTATCGTGAGGGGTCTGAATATGCAAATGTGTCATTCGCTCACTAAGATGTTAGCAGATCGATAATTAAACGTTCATCAATCCTCTTACGTCATCTGCTTAAGAACGTTACGCGAAAATTGTTTTTGGACTTTATACAAACACTTCCAAACTTCTTATCCAATAAAGAGTGAAATCATCTTTTTATATCGGGGCATGGAATCTCACAGTTCGATGTGGATTGATGTCTAGCACTGAGCATGCTCACANTAGCTAGCCAACAAGACTGCACTCAAAGCGTAACAGATAAAATAAAAATAGTGACAAGAGATCACTCAATTACAAGAATGGAACGAACGAAGGCTTTTAAGAATTGCCCCTCTCAAACTGCGATAAAATTTGCGCTGTCCGCAGCTATTCAGATGAACACCATCGTATGCGTAGGAATTAGCCTTTGTATGCCAGAAACCTCTATGACCCCAATAAATTGCATAAGGAATTGGCTCCAAAACTTCGCGTAGATAGCGGGTTAAGATATCGACATTTTGGTTAAAAGCTGCTGACGCCTCCCTATAGAGTGTTTGGCAAACACAAACGCGCTCAACCCCATATTGGTCATGTAACAAACGAACTAGATCCTCAATACTAGCACCCACTAGAACAGGGGTAAGATTGGCACGGGTTAGGTCGTTTGTTCCAATTCGTAAGATAACAATGTGGGGTCGAAAAGACTTTACAACATGTAGGTCATAATGGACAAGTTTTTTGAGAGTTCTGCCCCCAACACCGTGCCACCTTACAATTACTTTATTCTCGCAGTGAAAATAAGTGGTAAGATCGGAATTACGTTCGATGAAGTCGTGGAGACAACGAATAAAGGAATGTCCCAGAATAAGAATGCGCTTGTCAGCCATAATACAGTTAGGGTGTAAAAGTAAAATAACTTGCCTGATAATTTTACAGTGAACTTGCTCGACTGCGAGAATAATAGGAAAGAGGCCTCGTGGTAGTAGGACGCGCCTTAAGTACTGCTACGTAATAACAGTAATCATATCCTATTGGTCGACTTGAGATATGCGGATTCATCTAGTTGGATTACCGGATCTTACAACAGTATAATGTTTCGACATAAATGTCATTATGCTGTCAGCATAATGTTCTGTTATAAAGAAATCCTGGTTCGTTTAGACACAAGTGACTGATTTACTTTGGATTATCAAGGAGCCCATCTCTGGGTAGCTTTTAATATCTTTATCAGGCTAATATGACTTATCGGACAATTGTTTACAATCAATATTCTTACATATGTTTGTGATATATTCCAAGAAAAAGGTATTTTTTATATTATGCCATCTCCTAGCCTCTAAGTTCTCAGTTAGAGCAGGGTATTATATGTTACTCATATGATGGTGGGGATTTCCACGTGCCTAGAGAAACAGATTAATGGCGAGTCACGAAAAAAATGTATTAAATAACTGAGACATTGTTGATCACGAGCCCAAAGAACTCGATCGCACACTCCTGATATGACATCATAGTCGACATATTGGATCGGAGGTATCTTCCAACATGGCTGCCACGTCTCATTTCCTACTGTTTTGCAACCCAAGAACTTAACCAACACAAACCCTGCTATATTTTAAGAAATTATAGATCTTTGTATAGGGTCGCTAAGAAGTAGATCTAGGAAGACGTTAAAGATTGAGTGGTGGTCAGCGGTTGTGTCGTCGTATCTATCCTAACTCTCTTAGATCTTTCTTGACCCTTCTTGGCTGTGGTTTTGCCCGTTGTATGGTCACCTCCACGGCTTGATGGATTCTGCGCGTAGCGAGTCACTGTGGAGACGCCATCGACGAACTTGGTCTTGAAGAGAACGTTGGCATTGTTGAACATACCGTCTTTGAGTGAGACTACGATGAACTGTGAATGTTTGAAGTGGGATTTCACCATTTGACCGATGTTCTGGGTGTGTGAGAGATCGAGGGCTGCGTCTACCTCATCTAGGATGTACAGTGGTGCGGGTTTGAAAAGTAGAAGGGAGAGAATGAGAGAAAGAGCGACCAGTGATCTGAAAGAAAATGGAATTGAAAGAGTGAATAGTGGGAAGGTTTTTCCGATCCAATACAACCATTTATATTTGGCTTAATGTTTTCCCATTTCAGACCACTTCTCATTCCCTAGATTATCATTTCTTCGTTGAACGGTTGTATATGCGAAGACACATGAATATGGTTACGACTCAAACAAATAAACTTATTTTGAAGATAATGGCACGTGGTCTAAAATGGTAAAATATTAAACCGAAGTTTTAGACGTCTATTACCTACAGCTTTTGCCATGCTCTGTTCAGTAATACCGCACGCTAAAGGTGATGAAAGCCCGAAAGAAAAAACCATTTATAATGATACGGCGGCCTTCTTGAATTATGGAATGCCGAGGGGACAAACACGTAGAACATTTATAAAATATAGAGAGGAGTGGTTATGCTTTCAAAAAATTTGAAGTCTTGGTGATTCGCATAATGTTCCAACTACCAGCAAATTCAATTAGTACTTAGATGCACTTCGCATTGAAAAGCTTGAAGTTGTATAAATAGACATCCTGACAGCTGTTGCAGTCTAAAACTTTCAAAGTAGTTAATCCCCCGGCTTTCCATGTCTTAATAAAAACAGTAGAATTCAAGATGGCCGCAGTATCGGTAAAAAGGTGTATTGCAAAGAGACAAACGCCAGAATGCCCGGCGTCGTGCGCGAGAAAGATGTCAGCAACTTATACCGTCTTTTAGGGACTGAAAGAGATCGTAGCAATGCCGTAAAATTGATGAATAATTAATGAGGATTCGAGTCAGTCCAATCTCAGAAAATTTTGCTGGAACCAAATAATTCACTACTCTCAAACTGTAGCCTTTCTCTTTAGTTTATTGAAAAAAATATTGATAATTGACAAGCAAGTTTCTTTCCATTACTAAAGGATCGGTCATTATTTATTGGCTGGAGGGTTGGAGGATATAAAGGGATCACATGTTTCTTAGCCAGGCAACTGGAGGGGGGATTATATGACAGGTATTAGCAGCCACTAGAAATGAGAGATCACAAGAAAACTGAGATAACTAGTGCGTCTTGCTGGGGATTAACATGCAGTTAATCTTCAAGATGTCGCAACGAACGAAAGTTCTCCGACACCTTCCCCACTCTCCTTCCCTCAGACCAAAAATATTGACAGGTCCCAAACCTCTAGATTTTAAAAATCCTTAATTTATCTATTGTATCCTAGTGATGAAATCCAATGAAAAATTGAACGACTAAACCATATTTTGGCTTTAGACTTCGAAGTCCTTCTGATGGCAAATTTTCTATAACAAATATACTATTTGGTAAAAGTATTTGGTAAAAAAACTAACGATAAAGGTTTTTTGAACAGAGTAAAAGAGGATGCATTCCTTATGTAAACATCAACTTTATCCCAATCATCAGATACAAAATTATTTGTTGTTCAGAGACCCAAATTCAGTTCTATTTTTACATTTCTTACGAATATTGTCATAGAATGAAAGCCTTTACTAATCGTCAATACGTATTCGTAAAAAGGCTATTAATACATCTATCGATAAAAATAGCAAGGACCTCGATTCTTCTCTACGAAAAAGCTCTCATTTCCTATTTGATCTTTTCAAAACAGCTGTAGCGAATAACAATGGATAATATAGTAAANTAACCTTTTGTCTCCTTTCACTGCTTCACTATTTTGTTATTTATTTATTTCTTCCTTTTCTTGTTTAGTTTCGTACTCGATATATGAATATTTGACTAAAAGTGAAGCTTTAAATGGATAATATAGTAAAAGATTATATATAACCTTTTGTCTCCTTTCACTGCTTCACTATTTTGTTATTTATTTATTTCTTCCTTTTCTTGTTTAGTTTCGGACTCGATACATGAATATTTGACTAAAAAGTGAAGCTTTAAAAGGAGACCAAAGAAAACAAAAAGGAAAGAAAAGTAAAAGAGAATAAAAACAAAAGTATAAACTGCGAATGGACATATGTTAGCACATGTCAAACCCAAGGATATCACCAAAATGACATACCGATCAAATACGTTACAATAAAATAATAGCCAATTTCTACCTTACACACCAGACACCAGAACCATAAGTACTAACTAATAACTGACCATCCTTTAAAACAGTTATATATGTAGGGTTCTTGATTTCATCCCAAGTACTTCCTACAAAACGACCATCCAATGTGAATTTTTGTAGGCGGTTATTACCAAAATCACACACCAGTAGATGATGGTCATTATCAATAGCCAGGCCCCATGGTCCATTTAGCTGACCATCAGCACTGCCTTGACCACCAATCGTCGATATTCTAGTCGGTACGTTACCTTTCTTCTCAAATACATGAATAACATGATTATTTTTATCACTGACGTAAAACAGTCCATCATGTGTTATCACATCTCGTGGATCAAACTTGTCCTGTGTTGTCAAACCAAACTGATATTGATAGTCCCCGTCTCTTGTGAAGACTTGAACACGACGATTATCACCATCACACACAATGATGTTACCATCGTCATCAACGTGTACTCCATTTGGATAACCAAATTCTCCATCCCCGTTACCATGGTTACCAAAGGTTTTTACTATTGTCCCTGTTGTAGTGTTCACTATACATATTCTATGATTACCATAGTCAGCTATGACTAAATCTGTATCATTCAGAAATGCTAAACCTTGAGGATAAGAAAGTTGTGCCTGTGCTCTACCTCGAGTACCATACATCAGTAAGACATCTCCATCAGTGGTGAATGCATATACACAATCAGATGAACCATTTGAAACAGCGATCCTGCTATTGTCTCTGTTTACTGCTATACCTCTTAAATAACTAGTATCTATATTTACACCTTTCATGTTAAACTGTCCTGTTGTTCTCATCTCTTGTGGCTTGACATTCACCACTAGTGGACTGTTAGATACATGATTCCCATTCACTTGAACCTCTGCTGTCAACTGACCAGCTACTTTAGCCATGAATTCAACTTCNTTAGGTGCAAACAATAGAATTCAAGATGGCCGCCGTATTATTATAAAGTTGYATTGCAAAGAGACAAACGCTAGAATGTCCGGCGTCGTGGGCGAGAAAGATGTCAGCACCTTACATTGTCTTTTAGGGACTGCAGGAGATCGTATCAATGTCGTTAAATTGATGAATAATTAATGAGGATTCGAGCCAGTCCAATTTCAGAAAATATTGCTTCAACCCAATAATTCACTACTCTCAAACTGCCTTTCTCATTAGTTTATTGAAAAGTTATTAATAATCCACAAGGTCGACAAGCAAGTTTCTTTCCATCACCAAAAGATCGGTCATTATTTATTGGCTGGAGGGTTGGAGGATATAAAGGGATCACATGTTTCTTAGTCAGGCAACTGGAGGGGGGATTATATGACAGGTATTAGCAGCCACTAGAAATGATAGATCAAAAGAAAACTGAGATAACTAGTTCCTCTTGCTGGGGGTTAACATGCAGTTAATCTTCAAGATGTCGCAACGAACGAAAGTCCTCCGACACCTCCCCCACTCTCCTTCCCTCAGACCAAAACTAATGACCGGTCCGAAAACCTCTAGATTTTAAAAATCCTTAATCTGTCTATTGTATCCTAGTGATGAAATCCGATGAATTTAGACTTTGAAGCCTTTCTGATAGTAAATTTTCTATAAAAAATATAGACTTACAAAATATGTAAAATATTCAGCTATTTTAGTGATGAAAGTATTTGGTAAAAAAAAACAAACAAAAAAACAACAATGATAAAAGTTATTTTATTAAACTGAGTAAAAGTGGATGCATTTATTATGCAAACATGAAACTTATTCCAATCGTAAGATACAAAATTCTTTGTTGATCTGAGACACAAATTTAGTTCTATTTTTACCCTACTTGCAAAATTGTCATAGAACTATGACAGTCTTTACTAAACGTCAATAGCTATTCGTAAAAAGTCTATCTATACATCTATCGATAACAAAAAAGCACGAAGCTCGACTATTCTCTACGATAAAGCTGCCATTTCTTATTTAATCTTTTGAAACCTCAGTAGCATATAGAAATGGAATGAGATCTGAAATGATACGATCTGCTTTATTGTGGAAGATTATATCGAATCTTTTGTCTCCTTTCAATTTTTCACTTTTGTCTATTTTTTCTTTTTTTCTTTTCTTTTTTAGTTTTTCGTATTCAATGTATTGATATATCAAAAAGAAAAAAGAAAAGGGGAAAAAAGAAAAAAAAAAAGCAGTGAAAGAAAGAAAGAAAGAAAGAAACCAAACGGAAACAAAAGTAAAAAAGAATAAAAACAGATATCAAATGCATATAACTGTGAATGGTGATATTTTAGCACATGTCAAGCCCCGGAACATCATTCAATTTGTCATACCGATCACAAATATGGTGACTGAAAATATTAGCCAATTCTACTTTACACACCAGACACCAGAATCCCACGTACTAACTAATAACTGACCATCCTTTAAAACAGGTATATATGTAGGGTAGAAGATTAAATCACAAGTCTTTCCTATAAAACGTCCATCTAATGTGAATTTTTGTACGCGCTTATTACCATAATCACACACCAGTAGATGATGGTCATTATTAATAGCCAGGCCCCATGGTTTATTCAGCTGACCATCAGCACTGCCTTGACCACCAATCGTCGATATTCTAGTCGGTACGTTACCTTTCTTCTCAAATACATGAATAACATGATTATTCTTATCACTGACGTAAAGCAGTCCATCATGTGTTATCACATCAGTAGGAGTAAACCTGTCCTGTGTTGTCAAACCAAACTGATATTGATAGTCCCCGTCTCTTGTGAAGACTTGAACACGACGATTATCAGCATCACACACAATGATGTTACCATCGTCATCAACGTGTACTCTCCATGGATGATGAAACTGTCCATCACCGTTACCTTTGTTACCAAAGGTTTTTACCAATGTCCCTGTTGAAGTGTTCACTATACATATTCTATCATTACGAAAGTCTGCTA